TTCTCCTGACTTAAGATTTTCTCTCTTATATTTTATTATTTGGAAATAATTAGTGAATGATAATTGAAATAATAATCGTTACATTTTTCTCATTGATAATTTTGTTGTAGTTATTGTATATTTGTTAATTAAAAGACTTTGCAGAGCTTGTGTATGTATTGTCGCTAATTAATTTAATCGTATTTTTATGTAATTAATTGGTTTATAAAGTTTATTAACGTCATTTATTTTGTAATTCCGGAGGTTTACTATTTTAAGTTATTGTTTTTGTTGTTATTATTGTTTGTTGTCGATGTTGTGTTTTATTGAACTTCCACTGAGGAGGTTCTTCTTCTCACTTCTCCCCTCCTTCTTCTTCCTCTTACCCTTCCTCCTCCTCCTCCTTCCAATTCATCTTCTCCCTCCTCCTTCTTCTCTTTACACCCCCTTCTCCTTCCCCTCCTCCTTCTTCCCCTGCTCTTTCTCCTCCTCACTCCTACACTTCGTCACTCCTCCTCCCCCAGACTCTCCTCCTCTTCACCCCCTCACTCTTCCCCCCCCCTCACCCGCCTATTCTTCCTACCTCATCACCCTATACTCCCCCCTCTCACCCTCGCTCTTCCTCTTCCTCTCACCCCCCTTCCCTCACCTCCTTCCGACTCGTCCTCACTCCTACTCCTCCCCCTCACCTCACTCCCTCCTCCCACTCCCTACTCCTTCTCTCCCTCACTCACCTGCCTTCAGTATCTACGTCACACTCTGGTCTCAACCTTGTGTGATGTTTCTACTCGGAAGATTGTGGGAAATTAGGGCGCTAGGAGAGAGACAGTGAGGAGGGAATGGTTGTTAGAGAGAGGCAGTGAGGTGAGGGAATGGTTGTTAGAGAGGCAGTGAGGTGAGGAATGGTTGGTTGAGAGGCAGTGAGGTGGAGGGAAATGTCATAGGAGAGAGGCAGTGAGGTGAGGGAATGGTTGTTAGAGAGAGGCAGTGAGGTGAGGGAATGGTTGTTAGAGAGAGGCAGTGAGGTGAGGGAATGGTTGTTAGAGAGAGGCAGTGTTGTGCGTTTGTAGGTGAGGGAATGGTTGTTAGTTATTATTTTAGTGGCAGTAAAGCGAAACTTGAATCAGACAACTCTCTCTCTCTCTCTCTCTCTCTCTCTCTCTCTCTCTCTCGTGTGTGTCCGTCCGTCTGTCTGTCTGTTCACCCATTCGTCTACCTCGTCTTGTCTTCATTATTGTCTTGTGTATGATTTGCGTTTACGCGTCTGTCCGTCGTCCATGTGTTCGTATGTCTGCCCGTCCGCTGTCCATGATCTTTTATGTCACGTCCGTCCGTTCGTTCGTTCGTTAGTTCGTTCGTTCGTTCGTTAATTCGTTCGTTAGTATGCCGTTCAGATGTCCTCAAACAAAAACAAAAGGTCTATGTTGGAGTAATATTATTTTTTTCTTTTTTTTTTTCTTTTTTTTTAGGGAGACGCTACATGGCGCCCACCAGGTCCTGTTTATTTTTCTGTGCATTTTCCCCTCTTTTTTCCCCTCTTTTTTTCCCCTCTTTTTTTCCCTCTTTCTTTTTTTTCCTCTTATGTTCTTCTAAAAGGACAAGGCGAGTGTTTGTCCTCACCATGAGTCTAGTTTTGGTTATAGGCTCTTGAGAGTATTATTAAGCTTGGATATAATTATTGTGTTGTGTTATACCTGTGCTGTTGTGTTGTATGAGTGTTGTATTATTGTGTATTGTTGTATTACTGTGTTGTATTCTTGTGTGTTGTATTGTGTGTTGTATGAGTGTGTTGTATTATTGTGTTGTTGTATTACTGTTGTATGAGAGTGTTGTTGTATTCTATATCGTTGTATTACTGTGTTGCATTCTTGTGTGTTGTTGAATTCTGTATGTTATATTACTGTGCTGTGAAAGTGTTGTATTATACTGAGTGTTATATAATACTAAGCTGTATTAGACTGTATGTTATATAATACTAAGCTGTATTATACTGTATGTTATATAATACTAAGCTGTATTAGACTGTATGTTATATAATACTAAGGACAATATATTCGATAAATTAATATATTAGTTTACAAGTATGAGTATATCAAACACCTCTCAGACTCACTACCTAGAGAGAGAGAGAGAGAGAGAGAGAGAGAGAGAGAGAGAGAGAGAGAGAGAATTGCAGTTCAGTATTTAACAGGAAGCATCAGTAGTAGACCTTGAGGCACGCCGTTTCTGTACGTGTTATAGTTCACTCGGCTGCCACCTTTGTTTTTGTCGTGTTTTTTCTTTTCTTTCTCGAGTGGTTTAATTTGACGCTAATTAATATGGTTTAATATTTAGAGTAACATTATCTTTATTTGTATTTTTTTTAGTCTAATTTAATTATTTACCGAATTTAATTTTAATTTTGACTATTATATATTTTTTATTAAATTCGCTATTATTTAGTTTATTATTTTACTTTTATTTTGTATTATTTTTCTTTTATTAAATTTGGTATTATATATTTTATTTTTACTTGTATTTTGTTATTTTCCTTTTATTAATTTGGTAACATTTAGTTTATTTTTTTTACTTTTGTTTTATATTATTTTCTTTTTATTAAATTTGCTATTATTTAGTTTATTATTTTACTTTTATTTTGTATTATTTTTCTTTTATTAATTTGGTATTATTTAGTTTAATATTTTTACTTTTATTTTATATTATTTTACTTTTATTAAATTTTATATTATTTAGTTTATTATTTTTACTTTTATTATTATTCTTTTATTAGATATTATATTTTTTATCGTTTTTACTTTTGTTTTATTTTTATTATTATTTTTTATTATTATTTTTTATTTTATCTCGTTTTTCTATTTAATTTCTGCTTTTATTTCTTGTTTACTTTTTTTATTTATTTTTTTACTTTTTTTTTACTTTTTTTGTTTACTCTACGTGTGTCCTTGGCACCACCACAATATTGTTAGTGTCTGTAAAAGGCTCTTGAATTTTGTTTGAAATTCCAATGACATTTTTTTCACCAGCCTTTTAAATGCCATTTTTTGACTACGTGAACAACATTCGAGTTTTTACGGCGATGTGTGTGTGTGTGTGTGTGTGTGTGTGTGTGTGTGTTGTGGTATTTTGCAATGAATAGACAGTCATAGTTCATACATTCCTTCATACATTCCCCAGTATATACATTTTCTCTGGACGCGATAAATTTAAAACAGGGGGAAACTATTTTATTTTTCGTATTAAAGTTATTCAGAATAATTTTAAACCTTAAGCTAATAATGTTTAAAAACAAAATTTATAATGGTTGACTAAATTTACGATACTGTACATTACGATATAATTACGGTACATTGCGATATATTACGATACATTACGATATATCACTATACATTTATGATGTATTTACGATACATTTACGTTACGTTTACGATACATTACGATACGTTTACAATACATTGTCCTGACGTATTATTTGTTGATATTTTTTGTTTGTTTTCATTAGCGCTGATGGGCGAAATAAACTATTCCTGTTTGGCTTGTGTTTTTATCTATATTTTTTTTATTTACATATGGTTGTGAGGTTGTTGGTTGTGAAGGTGTTGTGATGGTGTTGTGAGGTTGCTGTGCATGGAAGCTGTGTTTTCTGTCCTGGAGTAATTCAAGGTAGAGGTGTGTGTGTGTGTGTGTGTGTGTGTTTTAGTAATATGAGTGTGTGTTGACTATGATGTGTGTGTGTGTGTGTGTGTGTGTGTTTTTGTTAGTAATATGAGTGTGTGTTGACTATGATGTGTGTGTGTGTGTGTGTAACTATGGTGTGTGTGTGTGTGTGTGGTAACTATGGTGTGTGTGTGGTAACTATGGTGTGTGTAACTAGTGTGTGTGTGTGTGTAACTGGTGTGTGTGTGTGAGTGTGTGTTTTGTTAGTAATATGAGTGTGTTGACTATGATGTGTGTGTGTGTGTGTGTAACTATGGTGTGTGTGTGTAACTATGGTGTGTGTGTGTGTGTGTGTGTGTGTGTGTGTGTGTGTGTGTGTGTGTGTGTGTGTGTGTGTGTGTGTGTGTGTGTTTTGTTAGTAATATGAGTGTGTGTTGACTATGATGTGTGTGTGTGTGTGTATGTGTGTGTTGACTATGATGTGTGTGTGTGTGTGTGTGTGTGTGTGTAATAATAATAATAATAATAATAATTAACGGTTTATTGAAAGAGCTTGGCAGCCAGAAGGCTGAAAATCTACAGTTACATATTTGGAGAATGGGTTACGAATTACAAATAATATACAAGTAACATAAGTGATACAAATAAGACATATAATAACTAGATGGGGAAAGGCTCAAACTACAGTTCATTTCAACATAGTGACAGTGTAAGGAGCAGTGGTTACTGGGAGTGAGTACACTGATTTATTACAAGTTATTGATAATTTTTACAATGGTTGGGACTGGGCTGTTCTTATAGCGATCAGTTCGTGCACGTATGGGCTGGATGCGGTTGTGGTGTCGAACAGCAATTCTCGGACAAGGGATCGTGTGTGTGTGTGTGTGTGTGTGTGTGTGTGTGTGTGTGTGTGTGTGTGTGTGTGTGTGTGTGTGTGTGTGTGTGCGTGCGTGCGTGCGTGCGTGCTGTATTAAATGTTAACACCCACCAGAGGAATGCAGTTCATATTTCGCACTTAAACACAATTTAACCTTTAGTTTTCCAATCCCTGAATTTAACATTGATGTTATATTTATGTTCTATGTACCTTTAAGTTTCGGGATTTCACCATTACTAAATTTACCTTAAGTTTAACATATTGTAACATTGTTTTTAAAAATATTACGTACAGTTTATTATAATTTAACATAGGTTTAAAACACCTAAAATATACTTGGATTATAATATACTAGATTATACTAAAATATACTAGATTATAGTTGTGTATTCTATGTTATGTTAGATTATGTTAGTTATATTATGCTATGTTATGTTATACGTCTGGCAACAGCAGCGACTAAATCAGCTGTTATTTATTTACATCTCAGGGTGAACTGGCGGTACCGGGAGGAGGAAAGTCACGCCGTCGATACCGTAGTCGCTCCCTCTCCCAGTCCTCCACCGACTCCTACTCTACCTGTGAGTACTGGTTACCTGTGTGTGTTGTGAACCCCCCCAGTACCTCCCCAGTACCGCTCCACTACGCCTGCACGCCCTGACCGCCTACGCTTACTCACGGTTACCATTGAACACACACACACACACACACTAATATTTACGTCTCTCTCTCTCTCATAACCTAAATAGCTTTAAAAAAATACATATTATAAACAAACCCTTGAACTTCTATCACTTATTATTTCCTTGAACTTCTATCACTTATTATTTAACAACACCGTAACTATATAAGGGTGCGTGAGTGGGTGGAGGTGGGTGTCAGTGCGGGCGGAGGTGGGTGTAGGTGGGGCTCATGCATGGAGTGGTGTAGTATGTGTAGTCATGCGTGATCATAACGTGTTGTGAGCGGCCTCATCATGGTGAGTGGTGCCTGACTTGACTACCTTATTATAATGGTGTGTCTTATGATGCATGTCGTGTTTGTTTATCATATATTTGTACCATGCTGGCTTGATTAATACAATTATCTCAACGCGTGCATGTTTTAAGTGCATGATTTTATACATACATACATACTACGACTTTGCCTTCACTCGGAATCGAGTATGACGATCATCCAGCAATGATACAATGACGTGAGTTAATAGGGATGTCACCTTCATTGGTGAGTTTTGAGGTGGTCGACCGCTTAAGGATGACCTTATTGGGTGCGGTTGCCCAGTCAGGTTGGTTCTTTAGGCAGGCTAAGTTTAGGGCACCTTTTCTAGCCCCCTCCTCTTGTGGGATGAGCAGAGTGGCTCCTCGAAATGGCTGCTCAGTCGCACAGACAAGACCGGATTGCACTGCTGCCTAGATCCCAGTGCTTAAACGACCATCTTATCTGTGCCGCCCATGTGCAGAGTTGTGACTAGAGACTCCCAGTAGTCATCTCTGGCTGTTCCCGTCGCCACTCGTCCGTCGCCATAGGACTTTTGGGGGTAAAGGGGTTTTGATGATGATGAGAGATATGATGGCTGCGCGTGAGTTGATTTATGTGGTGAGGCAGGAGCGCAGGCTGCAACCACACACCTTGGCTCTCCCTTTTCCTGATCCAGTGGTGCAAGTATTGCAACGACTGGGGAGAGGGAGAGTTGCAATGGACTGCCGATAGCCCAGTTTGTTGGGTTTCGCCTGAGTAGCCTGTCCATCAAGCATTGCCTTCCTCCGCCGGTGTAGTCGTTGGCTTCTCATGTTGGTCACCTCTTCCGCCGCTGGGGTCTTGTTGGAGCTCTGTAAGCATGTCTGCCTGATGCAGGGCTTCACCACAGATTTTTCGTTCGGGGTTTATTCCCGTAACCTTATTATCTACCAAGGTTAATCTGCAAGGCAGTGGTTGGTAGGCGCCAGGACGTGTCCACAAGCCAGTGGACCTATGCACCGGTTCTCTGGGACCCACTGCTACTCTGAGATACCCCTGCTGGTCTAGCCCGGGCTCACGAGGCACCCAGTTACCGTGTGTTGCCACGAGGAGGCACAGCAGGTACCCACCCCTCACATACATACATACATGCACAGACAGACTAGAGGTATGTAGGTTCGTATGGAATTGCAAGCTGATGATGTAGGTAGGGATAGGTGGGTGGGCAGGTGGGTGTGGCCAGTGAGTGTCCCGCCCACCGCTCTCTTACCACCCTCACCCTCTCCCTCACCCTCTCCCTCACCCTGACATAGGGAGATCAATACAGTGATACTAAAAGGAGAAACCGACCGACTACTTTGATGATGAGGGAGATAAGATAATGGAAGGGAAGGGAAATAATAAGGGAGGGGAAATAATATAGGAAAGAAAATAGAAATTATATGGAAAGGGGAAATAATCTGGGAAAGGAAGATTGAATTATGGAATAAACCAAAACACTACGAGATAAACAGACACTCATACGGACCAACTTTCGTCTCCTTCAAAAGTTTCACGAGGTTACTATTTCTCAGTTAACTGGAGATGTGAGGAAGCTGAGGTTAATATTTCTCAGTTAACTGGAGATGTGAGGAAGCTGAGGTTAATATTTCTCAGTTAACTGGAGATGAGGAAGCTGAGGTTAATATCTCTCAGTTAACTGGAGATGTGAGGAAGCTGAGGTTAATATTTCTCAGTTAACTGGAGATGTGAGGAAGCTGAGGTTAATATCTCTCAGTTAACTGGAGATGTGAGGAAGCTGAGGTTAATATTTCTCAGTTAACTGGAGATGTGAGAGGAAGCTGAAGTTAATATTTCTCACCTATCTGGAGGAATGAGGAAGCCTTGAGGAAGATGGATTTCTCAAAGGCTTCATAAGTCGGTAATCCTCTCAATAATGGGATTTGACAACCCTTCCACGTGGATTACTTAAGTTACGACATCTCTAGTTGTGTGTGTTGACATATTAGTATCGTGCTACCTTTGAACACCTGAAATTAATACACACGTGTGCACAAATTCAGGTGTGTTGGGGAAATACACAATCTCTCTCTCTCTCTCTCTCTCTCTCTCTCTCTCTCTCTCTCCTTAATGTACGAGCCATTTGAGAATTCCTGCCACCGCTCTATTTACCTTGCTGGCCTATTCCTGAGGGGAGTGGGAGGCAGGAAGGAGGACGAGGCAGGAGGCAAGCAGACATGGAGGGAGGAGGCAGGATTGAGCAGGAGGGAGGTGGGAGGAGGCAGGAGCAGGAGGAGGGCAGCCAGCAGGAGGAGGAGGTAGGAGGAGGGCAGACGAGCAGGAGGGAGGTAGGAGGAGGGCAGGAGAGCAGGAAGAAGGGCAGCAGGAGCAGGAAGGAGGCAGGAGGGTGGGAGAGCAGGAGGGTGGGAGGAGAGGGCAGGAGAGCAGGAAGAAGAGGAGGAGCAGGAGGGAGGGCAGGAGGGAGAGCAGGAGGGAGGGCAGGAGGGAGAGCAAGAGCGCAGGGAGGGAGAGCAGGAGGGAGGGCAAGACGAGGTATCTCACTTCATACGTACCATAATTTTTTACAAGTTCAAGTGAGGAGTTTGTGTGATGTGAGTTGCAACTGTTGTTGGAGAAAACGAGAAAGGTGAAAGTTTGTGTGTGTGTGTGTGTGTGTGTGTGTGCGCGCGTTCGTTCGTTCGTTCGTTCGTTCGTTCATGGGGTGCTTTTCCAGGTAACTGTTTTTCTCTTGTCTTTCTCGCATTTCTCCCCCACTACCCTCTCCCCTCCCTACACCACAATCCTCACCCTCTCTCCTCTAACCATACATCCCCCCCACACATACACCCCGCATTACCCCCTACACTCCTTCCCACATCACCCCCACACATTCCCATCACCCCCACACTCCCATCACCCCACCTCCCATCACCCCCACTCCCATCACCCCCCACACTCCCATCACCCCCACCTCCCATCACCCCCCACCTCCCATCACCCCCCCACACTCCCACTCACCCCCACACTCCCATCACCCCCACACTCCCATCACCCCCCCACACCTCCATCACCCCCACACTCCCATCACCCCCCACCTCCCATCACCCCCCCCACACTCCCATCACCCCACCTCCCATCACCCCCCACTCCATCACCCCCCACTCCATCACCCCCACCTCCCATCACCTCCCACCTCCCATCACCCCCCCACACCTCCCATCACCCCCCACCTCCCATCACCCCTCACACTCCATCACCCCACACTCCCATCACCCCCCACCTCCCATCACCCCCACACACTCCCATCACCCCCACTCCCATCACCCACCCCACCTCCCATAACCCCCACACAATCCCATCACCCCCACACAATCCCATCACCCCCACACTCCCATCACCCCCCTCCCATCACCCTCCCCATCACCCCCACACTCCCATCACCCCCACCTCCCATCCCCCCACACTCCCATCACCCACCCACACTCCCATCACCCCCCACACAATCATCACCCCCCACAATCCCATCACCCCCCACTCCCATCCTCACACTCCCATCACCCCCACACTCCCATCCTCCCCTCCCATCACTCACCCTCCCATCACCCCCCACTCCCATCACCCCCTCCCATCACCCCCACACAATCCCATCACCCCACAATCCCATCACCCCCCACCTCCCATCACCCCCACCTCCCATCACCCCCCACTCCCATCACCCCACACTCCCATCACCCCCCCACACTCCCATCACCCCCACTCCCATCACCCCACCTCCATCACCCCCACACACCCCACACTCCCATCACCCCCCACACTCCCATCACCCCCCACCTCCCATCACCCCCCACCTCCCCATCACCCCCCTCCCATCACCCCCACACTCCCTTCCCACCTCCCATCACCCCCCTCCCATCACCCCCCACCCCCTCACCCCCACCTCCCATCACCCCCCACCTCCCATCACCCCCCACACTCCCATCACCCTCCCCACACTCCCATCACCCCCCCACTCCCATCACCCCCCCCTCCCATCACCCCCACCTCCCATCACCCCCTTTCCCCCAGGGTATGCACATAAGCACCTGCCTTGAATATGGTGGTGTATTTTTCCCCAACATTAAGTGAACCAACTCCCGGCTAGCGTCATTTTCCACTCTTGTTATGGCCTCCAACTTTAAGAGCAGAGGAAGTTTTGAGTTGCTTTGCCTCCTCTTCTTCCTCTTCATTCCTCCTCTTCCTCTTCCAACCTATCTATCTTCCTCCCCCTCTTCCGCTTCCTCCCCTTCTCTCCTCTTGCTCTCCTCAGGGCACTAGTTCTACGTTCCCTAAAAAAAAAATAAGAAGGCATGTGATGGACTATTTTTAACCTTCCAACACAAAGATGCATTTTTCCTACCTGCCGTTAGGGAGAGAAAACCTAACTACCTTTAGTTAATTCCAGAGGTTTAGGTTTGGCTGGGTTGGGTTTGTTGGGTTTGGTTTGTTGGGTTTAGTTTGGTTGGGTTAGCCTGAAGGTTTGTTGGGTTTAGTTGGGTTGAGTTGGTTTGGTTGGTTGGGTTTGGTTTGGTTTGGTTTGGTTGGGTTTGGTTTGGTTTGGTGAGTTGGGTTTAGTTGGTTTGGCTGGGTTGGTTGCTGGGTTTAGTTTGGTTGGGTTTAGTTTGGTTGGGTTTGGTTTGGTTGGGTTTAGTTTGGCCTTGAATTGGTGTTTAGAGGGTTGGTTAGGTTAAACCTAGGTAGGTTTGTTAAGTGCTTGATTGGTTAGATTTGCAACACACTCATTTACTCGTCCTCCACCACACTCATCCTCCACCACACCATCCTCCACCACCATCTCCTCACACTCTCCTCCATCACACTCATCCTCCACCACACTCATCCTCCAACCACACTCATCCTCCACCACACTCATGCTCCACCACACTCATGCTCCACCACACTCATCCTCCACCACACTCATCCTCCACCACACTCATCCTACCACACTCATCCTCCACCACACTCATCCTCCACCACACTCATCCTCCACCATCACTCTCGTGTCTACTCCTTGTCAACTCTCTATAACTTTCTCCCCCCCAGAGTTAAATTTATATCACCTGGTTTACAACTTTCAATTTCTAACTTATTTTTTCTGTTTTATACTTTGTTTATTTTTTACTTTTCCGTCATGTTTCGTCTTACTGATACATCTCTCTACTCCTGTTACCTTCGTCCTCCTGCACCTCCTCCTCCCCCTTGTTCCTCCTGACTACCCCCTTCACTTTTCTCCCTGTGCCCCTCCCCTAATGTTTCCTCCCCCTCTCTCCACTCCTCTCTCACCTCTCCTCCTCACACACACACACACACATACACACACACACACACACACACACACACACACACACACACCAGTCGTACAATATTGACTCAAATTAAAAAATCGATTTCCAAAGTCAATAAATTTTCCCACCCAAGTAAAGAGACAGGAAACCGCACCTCAATACAGCTTAAATGTCACTGCCAATCTGTTTTTATCGTCGCCTTTAAGTGGCTCAGTTACATGGAAACTCACAGCTCTGCCTAAGGAAGAAAATAATGAACGAGAACAGTTTGAAATCCATCTTTGTTTGGGGTTTTGAAGACTAGCGTGAAAATTAAGGATAACCAGAAGATTAGACACCTCCCTGACACCCCTCCCGACACCCCCTCCCTGACACCCCTCCCTGACACCCTCTCGCTGACACCCCCTCCCTGACACCCTCCCCACACCCTCCTGACACCCTCCCTGACACCCTCCCCCCTCCTGACACCCCCCTCCCTGACACCTCCTGCTGACACCCCTCCCTGACACCCCTCCCTGACACCCATCCCTGCTTATTGTTACTCAATCTAATCTAGGAGAAATTAACAGAGCCTAATGTAATCTGACCTAATCCATTTCAGCTTAATTCAGCTTAGCCTACTTCACCCCAACGTAATCCAACTTAAACCTAACCACAACCCAACCTAACCCAACCACAACCCAACCCAACTGATAGAGATAAAATGGAGACAGGTGAGAGATATAAGTGAGACTGGTAGAGAAAAAAAGTGAGACAGGTAGAGAAAAAAGTGACAGGTAGAGAAAAAAAAGTGAGACAGGTAGAGAAAAAAAGTGAGACAGGTAGAGAAAAAAGTGACAGGTAGAGAAAAAAAGTGAGACAGGTAGAGAAAAAAGTGACAGGTAGAGGAAAAAAAGTGAGACAGGTAGAGAAAGACGCAACGAGAAACCCAGGAACTTTAGAGCCTTGGGGCGTGGTAAAGTTTATATCGTGTCTGAGGAGTGAGTGAGTGATGTTCATACCTCAGTCTAGTTGGTTGTGCCAGAGTAAACACGATGGGGGAAACCTTTCAGAAAGACCAGCCTTATAAAACTACCTCCGTGCCCTTGTTAGCTCTCCTCGTTAGCCAGACAAATTGCCCTCGTTAAAGGCTGTAGTGGTTGTAATGGCCACCTCTTGAGATTAGAGTTCAATCCCAGGTTCTCAAATGTTTACAAGTTCCTCATTACCGTATTGTTGAACACTAATTAGGGTGCATTAGTTTATCTGTAAAATTATCTACGGTATACCTAATTTTGCAACTTCATTAGCCTAGTCACTTCATTCTGTTCCTTAGAGAATGTTATCGTATATAAAATAAATCTTGTTATAAATTCCTCTTGAAAACAGTAATAAACAAGACAATAACTATTCAAATCGTTTAAAAATAACACAAAATTAGATAAAAAAAAATCACAAACTACCACATTGTTGTGTTGGTGTTGTCTGTGAGGATGATGGCGGACAAGATGCGCGGTGAGGTATGCGCAGAAACACAAACAGCTAGGGGCGACAACGCATGATTAAAACCTTTTAATTCTCGTATTATGTGATGATTTAAACGCTTGTCATACGGACCATATTGCTGTAATTATGTCCATTGTAATGATGAGTTTCACATTGTCAGGCATTACGTCAGGGTGTAATAAATAACGCCAGATAGGGGTGGATTATTCTCTGTTTGGTTATACTGCTCTTTGAATTCTTATTGGTGTAATTATTGTAATGGTTTGTGACATTATTATTATTATTATTATTATTATATTATTATTATTATCATTATTATTATCATTACTGTTATTATTATTATTAGCAGTAGTAGTGAAAGCAAGAGAGAGTTACGTACATGCAGTGTGTGTGTGTGTGTGTGTGTACATACAATACACATACTTGACCGGTCTAGCGTGATTGTCTGTTATTAGTGTACGAGGTCGTTCACCTCACATTCACCCCACATTCACCCCCACATTCACCCCTACATTCACCCCCACATTCACCCTACATTCACACCCACATTCCTCCCACATTCACGCCACATCCACCCAACATTCACCCCCATTCACACCCACACTCACACCCACATTCACCCCAACATTCCCAAAGATTCCTATGTTATTTTTCCCTCTTACGTGTTGATATGAGATGGCGTCTAGGCACGATAGATTCTGAGTGCAATTTTGTTTCAATTTGGCTGCAATATGTGTCTTGCCGTATCCTAAGTGGGGCAACTTGACCCAGGAGGAGAGCGTGTGTGTAATCTAATGCTACTCTTGCCTGGGACATATTTTGTAATACCATTCGAAATTGATAAAGTAAAATAATTATGGTGTTATGTTGGTCGAGTGGATATACCTCTCGGGTTTTTGTCCTGGTTCACTGGTTCGAGCCTGAGATACACATACAGACATACACTCGCTCACACACACACACACACACACTCAAAGACTTTAGATGATAAATATTTCGCGGTATTATCTTTATTTAACTTGTTGGTCGTGTTAGATATTGAATACTTTTAATTTATAAAACCTATACGATGCTGCGCGCGCCTCTAGTGTTGTGTGTGAGTAATGGCTTCAGTTGTCCTGGAGTTTCTTTTCTTGTTTGTTTTGTTTACATATTGTTAGGGCATTAGTGTAAGAACTTTACTGTTGTTATTATTATTATTATTATTATTATTATTATTATTTATTATTATTATTTATTATTGTTCTTGTTATTAGTATTTTATTTTATTATTATTATTGTTTTTATTGTTTTATATTATCATTATTATTTTTTATTCATATTATTTTTATTATTTTTATTATTATTATTGTTTATTATTATTATTACCCGATGACGTAAAGAAGACTAAATTATTTTCTTAAGACATTATCCAGACACTTGATTATTTAACTTGATTATGACGCAGTTAAGTTCTCGTGTTGTTTTTATTTGATTGACATAACTGCAGCTTGTTTATGTCGTTGTTCAACTCACATGGGATTGTTTACTACACAATTATTACATTTATTTGTTTATATGCTGCCCCACTGAATGTTTACTCGGTGCATGTTGGCATTTTGCCGTGTTTGTTTAGGCATTTTTCAGTGTTTTGGGGGCATTTTGCTGTTTGTTTAGGCATTTTTCAGTGTTTTGGGGGCATTTTACTGTTTGTTTAGACATTTTTCAGTGTTTTGGGGGCATTTTGCTGTGTTTGTTTTGGCATTTTGCTGCGTTTGTTTTGGCATTTTTCAATGTTTTTTGGGCATTTTCCAATTTTTGTTTGTTTGCAATAATAGTAATACACTTTGATATGTTTAATTATATATATTTTGTTAATTTGGCTATCAATATACCTAGACTGTTATAGACGTTAGCAACACACAGCTTATACTATAATTTAACATAGTTTTTCATTAGCCAGTACCCAACAATTTAGTCATTAGCTGTTAATTTAGTTCCATTTAAAATTTGAATTATATATATTTTTTTTGGTTAATTTAATTGAGACAAAAATTAGCTTTAGTGAGAATATAATGATTTGTGGCTTTTCTCTTTTTGTTTTTCAGATTGTAAGTTTGGCTGACTTTAACTCCTTCGTTCGCTGTATTCCTGTGTTTGTAGTGAGTTCTTATTGGTCGACCCCCTTGTACATATGTCCGTAGTGAGTTCTTATTGGTCGGCCCCCTTGTACATATGTCCGTAGTGAGTTCTGATTGGTCGACCCCCTTGTACATATGTCCGTAGTGAGTTCTTATTGGTCGGCCCCCTTGTACATATGTCCGTAGTGAGTTCTGATTGGTCTACCCCCTTGTACATATGTCCGTAGTGAGTTCTGATTGGTCGGTCCCCTTGTACATATGTCCGTAGTGAGTTCTTATTGGTGGGTCCCCTTGTACATATGTCCGTAGTGAGTTCTGATTGGTCTACCCCCTTGTACATATGTCCGTAGTGAGTTCTTATTGGTGGGTCCCCTTGTACATATGTCCGTAGTGAGTTCGATTGGTCTACCCTTTGTACATATGTCCGTAGTGAGTTCTTATTAGGGCCCCCTTTGTACATATGTCTGGAAGAGTTCTATTGGTGTGGGCCCCTGTAATGTATGTCCGTAGTGAGTTCTGATTGGTCTACTTCCCTGTACATATGTCCGTAGTGAGTTCTGATTGGTCTACCCTTTGTACACATATGTCCGTAGTGAGTTCTTATTGGTGGGCCCCTTGTACATATGTCCGTAGTGAAAGCCTATTGGTCGGCCCCTTGTACATATGTCCGTAGTGAGTTCTGATTGGTCTAATTCCCCAGGCATATGTCCGTAGAGTTCTATTGGTCGACCCCTGTACACATATGTCCGTAGTGAGTTCTGGATTGGTTCATTTCCTCTTGTACATATGTCCGTAGAGTTCTGATGGTCGACCCCTGTACATATGTCCGTAGTGAGTTCTGATTAATTCACCCCTGTACATATGTCCGTAGTGAGTCTCTGATTTTGGTCTACTCCTCACAGGTCTGTGGTGAGTTCTGATTGGTCTACCTCTTGTACATATGTCCGTAGTGAGTTCTGATTGGTCTACTCCCTTTGTACGTATGACCGCAGTGAGTTCTATTGGTCTACTCCCTTGTATTAAAGTTGATCCCCTGAGCTCATTTCTCGGAGGTAATGGCAGAGGGTCAGCTTTATTAGGCCTGAGCCTTGGGGAGTCTTCCAAAGGTCAGTTCCAAAGGGTCTGAGCCTTGGGGAGTCTTCCAAAGGTCAGCTCTATAGGTTCTAGGCCTTTGAGAATCTTCCACGGCTGAGTTCCAAAGGGTCTAGACCTCTTGAGAGACTACCAATGGGTGATAAGCGCATGCAGTAACCATTGGTATAGTTGTGTTGAGTTTGTGTTGCTTTCTGGCGCCTGGACTTTTGTGTTGCTCAGTAGTGTTGACGTATCTTTTGTCCTTCTGTGATGTGTTATCCTGTAGCACGTGGTCTTGTGTTGCAGTGTAGTTGCTTGGTGCTAAGTGGTGTGTTGTCTGTAGTGTGTGCATTGTTTGTTTGTTCTGTGTTTGTTTTTATTTTGTTTGTTTTGTTTGTGTTTTTATTTTGTTTGTTGTGTTTGTTTCAGGCTGTATATTATTGCTTATTTTTACATGTTTTTAGTTAGTTTTTTTTTTCTCTCTCGTGTCTTGTTTTGCTATCTATCTATCTGTCTGTCTGTCTGTCTGTCTGTCTGTCTGTCTGTCTGTCTGTCTGTCTGTCTGTTCGCCCGTCGGTCCGTTCCGCCACTATGAGCTCTCCTTTCCACTCGAAATATCTCCCTTGATTTCGCGGGTCAAAGTTCAATTAATCACACAGCCTTAACCTTATAATTTTCGCAATTGTGGTTGACAATTTACGTGTTTATACTCCGTCAATAATAATCAGCTGGGGGCATTAAGTGTCTCTCTCATGGCTGAAACTTGATCGAGCTATTTTTTTTGTCACCAATTTAACTCTTACTGAACCCGACTAAAGTGGTCATTTTAACTGTCCCGTAACCCGATTTTAGTGAACTCTCATGGCTGAAACCCTGACTGAGCTGGCTAACACTAACTCTTACTGAACCCGACTAAAGTGGTCATTTTAACTGTCCCGTAACCCGATTTTAGTGAACCTTCTCAGTCGACGTCGATCACAAATAAACCCGCTGTCGATCTTCATGTCATAGAGTCGATTATTACTTGTTTCGAATGTACTAACTCATGATTCGACAATTTCTTTTAAGTTTTACGAAGAAATTGGTAAATGATGAGAAATTTATATAAGTATTTACTGTAGTGATGAAATAGGAAGTGAAAATGGTGTATAGCTGTTCATCACGTGACCCAAATCATAACGTATACATACAACATTGATTTTACTCTTGATAAATACACACTCATACACATTATAATAGAAAAAAAAAATACTAACATGATAAGTTAGTTATTTTTTTTAACATATTTTTAACATTGATATGAATTAAAGATGAAAATTTATCAAAGTTTAAATTAAAAATATATGAAAGTTTTTGTAATTTGTTTAATAGTGTAATTATTTTTTTTTCTTTTGGCCTATTGATTTAAGGGAAAATAATTTTATCATTATCGATTAAATTTTGTACAATACCAAGACGTACAATTCCATCTCCTGACACCATGATGACACGATAGCGTATTGACATATCATTATTACAAACCTTGATATAAACCGTCCCTATAACGTATTAAACCCGGTTTATGTATATACACAGTCATTAATGAAATCCCCTTTTATAAAACAGCTGAGGTAATGCATGTCGTAGCTAGTGGGTGAAGGTATCTGGTTTACTGGTTTATACTATGTGTTTTAATGTTTGTTTTATGTATGGTTTATTGTCATTATTTATCCCCCTCTGCTGTCTATGTTATGGTCATTAAGTCTCACTACAGTATATATGGTAATACAGGTAAGTCCAGTCCATCTTGGCGCCCACGGTGACGTAAGTGTTAATTCGATTTTGTTTTTTCTATTTCATTTGTTTAATTTATCTCATACATGCATATACGATGTGTATTTTCAATGGATTTTTTTTTAATATCAATATAATTTATGTAAGGTAAGTTTATGATGAATTGTGTATAATTATTTTTTTTTCTTTGTATTGTAATGGAAAGTTTGCGCATGACGTCATAGATGACGTCATGTTTTGTTTTGGTCAGCGCCATTTTGATTTTGCATTCGTAGCATCTCAGAAATAAATTATCACGGTACACTTTCACTATCTGGCCTCAACGTGTGAGTTTATATTATTGATTTATAATGACTGACGTTTGTTTGTCATTATAAATTACGCTAGAATAATAAATTGAAGAAAATAAATGATAGTCGTAAACAAAATTCGATGCCAGATGTTGCCAAGTACGTTAAGTAAATTTTCTCAGTGCATTGTCGCGTCCTTGTGTGTAGTGGAAAGGCCCTGGGGATATAAACCTCTCGTTCCTTATTGGTTGGAGAGCGACAGGTTATACAATGGATAGCAGAAATTACCCAGGGAAGAGATGACAACGTAAACATGAGGCTGTACAGGATGTTATTAAATCCAGTTTGGTAATCGATTTTTTTCTTCTTTATTTTTAGTATTTTATCGTTTATGTATTTCCCATTTGCCTCATTCCCATCTTTATTGAGTTCTGTTTTTCACTAGTGTGTGTGTGTGTGTGTGTGTGTGTGTGTGTGTGTGTGTGTGTGTGTGTGTGTGTGTGTGTAGAAAAAAAAATAAACGGGGGGGAGAAGTGGAAATTGAACTGTCAAGTCTGCCTTGAGATTGGCTGTCAGTTTGATCCATAAGTGATCTGTAATTACTGAGGAGGAGGGAGAGGGGTGAGGAGGAGAATGAGGAAGAGGCGGTGAGGAGGAGGAGGAGGAAGAAGAGATGGTGAGGAGGAGGACGAGGAGGAAGAAGAGATGGTGAGGAGGAGGACGAGGTGGTGTTGGAGGAGGACGAGGTGGTGTTGGAGGAGGAAGGGGTGATGATGGAGAAGGAAGAAGAGATGGTGGAGGAGGAAGAAGATGTGATGATGGAGGAGAAGGAAGAATAAGAAGTGATGGTGGAAAAGTCGGAAAAAGAAGAGATATTGTAGGAGGAAGGAGGAGTGAGGGGCGACTCTTCAGGCAAGCATTTTCAGGAGGGGTGGGAGGGAGGGGGTCTAATCTCGAGGTGATCCATAAAGTTTTAAATTACGAAAGGTCTCGCTCATGATCTCGCTCTCGTCCTCGACTGCATTACTGTATTATTTCACGTAACTCTCCCGTAGGAAATATAAAAAAGTAGATAATACTTTTTTCCAACAAGACTAAAACTACCACAACAAAACTACATAAAAATATCCCTTCCTCCAGTAGTTTGAAACCAAGAGAAAATATAAGTAAATATACAATACATATTAACGAAGACAATATGCAAATTACTTGTCTTAAAAAAAATATCAAAAGAATCCCCACTCTTTTTTACCAGAGATTCAAAACATAGTCTAGAACTCTCATTTAACAAGAAGTAATCACACAAAAATGACCAATTCCCAATGAGTTTAACCACCCAATCAGAGGACGGTATGGTGAAAAATTTGGCCAACCACTGAAGTAGTAGTTGGGAGTCTGGGAAGATCACGTCTCAAGTGTTGGATTTTATTTTGGTTTCCAGACGTGGATGAGTTTAGTGGATTCGTGAGTTTAAAACCATCTCTCTGGGTGGATGGCTGATTGGCTGACTGGGTGGATGACTGATTGGCTGACTGGGAGGATGACTGACTGGGAGGATGACTGATTGGCTGACTGGGTGGATGACTGATTGGCTGACTGGGTGGATGGCTGATTGGCTGACTGGGTGGATGGCTGATTGGCTGACTGGGTGGATGGCTGATTGGCTGACTGGGTGTATGGCTGATTGGCTGACTGGGTGGATGACTGATTGGCTGACTGGGTGGATGGCTTATTGGCTGATTGGCTGACTGGGAGGATGATTGAAGGACTGACTTGACTGGCTGACTGACTGGGGGTGGAAATCTCTTGTTGAATTTGTTTTATCTCAATTGTGACTTAAAGTTGGATTTAGTACTATTTTTATTGAAGTGTGTGTGTGTGTGTGTGTGTGTGTGTGTGTGTGTGTGTGTGTGTGTGTGTGTGTGTGTGTGTGTGTGTGTGTGCGTGTGTGTGTGTGTGTGTGTGTGTGTTAATTGCCGTAGTGCGTGGTGACGGGACGACAGACTCAGCCATTTATAGGACCACCTGAAGATTTGTGACACCCCCAGCTTATTTCACCTGAAGATTAATTATAACTCATCACGCTAACTCCAACCTAACCTAACGCCTTATCTAATCTAACCTTAACTTACCCCTTAATACCCCAACACTTAACACCCCCAACACACCAAGAACACCCCCCACACCCCAACACTTTTAACACCCCCCAACACCCCCAACACCCCCAACACCCCCGAGAAAGCATTAGGGTGGTTGGTCATCAGGTGAAATAAACTGGGGTGTCTAATCTTCATATGATCCTCGACTAAATAAAACACGACTCCCAACTAAACAAAAATTCCTGGGATTCCTAAAAGTTCCTATGTTAAATTTTCTCTCTCATCTGGGAATGACTAAACGCGTCCCATGACCTTACAAAAAAATATATATATAACACATAGATAGAGAAAAAATATGGCGTCGTATCCTCTTTGAGACTATAACTACACTACGTTGTTATAGAGTAATTGAGAGGAGGAGGTTCTTCTTTTTCTTCTTCTTCAGGTGTAATTAATTTACCTGTCTCGTCTCATTTACATAACCGGGAAGTGGGGGAGGATTGATATTTACTCAAGCCGGAATTAATTACCCATGTGTAATATTCACTGTATAGATGTTGAGTGGGTTTTTTTTTTATTATTCATTCCCTTCTTGTGTACATTGGGTTAGGTTGGGGTCGATTAGGTTGGGGTCGATTAGGTTGGGGATGGGATTGGGTTGGGGTCGATTAGGTTGGGATTAGCCGATCGATTAGGTTGGGGGGGCCGATTAGGTTGGAGACCGATTAGGTTGGGGTCGATTAGGTTGGGGCCGATTAGGTTGGGGCCGATTAGGTTGGGGCCGATTAGGTTGGGGCCGATTAGGTTGGGGTCGATTAGGTTGGGGTCGATTAGGTTGGGGCCGATTAGGTTTTAAGTTAGGTCAGAACA